CTTCCGATCTGGCTAATCTACATGCCTCCGTCGAAGGAGGCATGTAGTCTAGACACACCCCTAGTGAAGACACAGCCCTTTGACGCCTTCAGATCTGCTGACAGGCACTAACAGCTGGGCAAGCATTTGGGAGTCAGCAGGGGCACTCACTCACTGGGGAGTCAGAAGAGCTAAGAATATTAAAGCAGGCTTGAAGCTTCTTTCCTATCTGGCTAATCTACATGCCTCCGTCGAAGGAGGCATGTAGTCTAGACACACCCCTAGTGAAGACACAGCCCTTTGACGCCTTCAGATCTGCTGACAGGCACTAACAGCTGGGCAAGCATTTGGGAGTCAGCAGGGGCACTCACTCACTGGGGAGTCAGAAGAGCTAAGAATATTAAAGCAGGCTTGAAGCTTCTTTCCTTTCCACCTTCTTGGCCCTCACATCCTTCTTTCTTTCTTCTTCTTTGCGCTGTTCTCCTCTCTTCTAGAGCCTGGGCAGGCAAGTTACACTGACTTCCTTCAGGCTTCCATGCAACAGGCCATATTGAAAGATGGTTCACAGATTATAAACCCAGAAGGGACCTCTGTAATCATTTTTAGTCTGGCTGTTCAAGCTACACATCAGTGAGTGGGGATGAGCCAAAGGAAGAAAGGAAGTCAAAAGGATTTGAAAGAAAGTCTAATGTGGGGGCTGAAAAAAGGTTTAAATGCCACTTAGGTTCACCTCTGAAACTGACCACCTTCTATACCAAAAGCAGGAAGGAGATTGGATCTAAATGCTGACATGACCGTCTAGAATTATGAGCAAGCCAGCAGGCTGTAATTTTAAGGTTGTACATCCAACAGTGGATAACTACATAGTCATATACTGCCAGGACATTTACAGCACATACCACCATTAAGGTGACTGCTGCAAAGCTGCCTTCTTTCCTCCCTAAACATAGACTCATAGACTTTAAAGTCAGAAGGGACCATTATGATCATCTAGTCTGACCCCCTGCACAACGCAGGCCACAGAATCTCACCCACCCACTCCTGGAATAATCGTCTCGCCTATATCTCCGATATTGAAGCCCTCAAATGGTTTAAAGACCCCAAGATGCAGAGAATCTTTCAGCAAGTGATCCGTGCCCCATGCTACAGAGGAAGGTGAAAAACCTCCAGGGCCAGAGACAACACAGAGACAACTTAGAGAGAGAGGTTTTCACTTACTCTGCCTGCTCCTTGTAGATGATCCCGAAGAACTAGGCCGGCTTGTTTGCTGGGGCCCAGACTGAGAGAACTGTGGTGCGATGGTTGGGATCTTTCCCCTTCTGTGGCTAGGACTCTGTGCTTCAGGAGTGCGGGGGACCCTAGGTTTGCTGGTGAAGGCAGAGCAAAACTCACTGCAGGGAGAGGCAGAAAGCGTTAGAACGTTCAGGTTTTTACATCACGGGACAGAACAGGCGCAGAACACCGGGGTGGTGGTAGGGGGGTCTAACAGCAGTTTACATGCCTAGTCAACCAAATCCCATTGCACACCCTCACAAACACAGTGTTAGAAATACTGTCCAAGTCAAGGGAGGGCACAGATGGAAATGAACATGGCACCTGAAGAAGCACACGCCTTACTAAGAAGCCACATTCCCTTCTGTGGCTCGTATGTCTTCCACCGTACATTATCCAGATCAGAAACACAGAACCAATTCATCTGAGGTGCTACGACAGCGCTGCAGAGCTGAATCAACGGCTTTCACGTCATTTTACAATTGCACTGTTATTTTTCTTGTGCATCTCATCTAGATGCCGGCCCTGAAAGATGCAGAGATTTCTCAACTCCTGTTTAAGTTAATGACACGTGTAGGCACGCCGCACCTCACAGGTCTCCCCCACTCATGTGGGTCATGGTACGCTCAGAGCTAAATTCCCTTGACGCTCTCTCAGCTGTGTAATCCACACATTTCTTGATTACATTACGAGCCTCTTTAATATCTGCCCTCATTGAACTACCCTCTGCCCTAAGTTCAGTTCCATTTAAAGTTTAGCTAGAGGGTAGGCAAGGATAAAGTCTCCGGGGCAGTATTCTTGTGAAGGGCATGGCAGTTATTAGCACGTAGTGGTGAACAATCTGGAGGCACCTGGCCAGTGACCCAAGAGCTGATTGACGGAGTATTCTTGTTCCGGAGCTATATTAACTTATTACTGAGCCTCACCAGAAAAGGCAGAACAACATCAGCAAGAAAAAGACAAAGACAATCACCTTTAGGAGGAAACAAAACGGGAGCCTGAAAACCGCCAACCGGCAATAGGTAATTAAAGTGATAGCTGGGGAGCCTCTTTTGGGCCATCAAAAGAAGCCATTGTGAGGGGCAGGAAGAGCGATTAGGAGGATTTGAAGACGTCTAATCTTCCACTCTGGCTGGAATGCTGCTGAGTCGCCAGGGAGCAGCTAGTCCCTCGCTGCTGTTGCACCTTGAGCAGAGATGCCTTAGCAAACATTTCATTTCGTTTGTACATTACATTCATTGTCCAGGATTTTGCTTTTGGGAGCACTAGCCACAAGTGCCACCGCCTTGCTAATCAGTTAACAGTCTGCTCTGAACAATCTTGGTAGCTAAGATTTCTCTCCGATAGGCCTTCCCTTGCCTCTTCTTTATTGTCCTTCGTTATCA